TGTGAATCCGGGTGCAAACGGGTGTTCCGGGCGGTGCGGGGTGTAGTCGGAGGCCGGTGGTAGCCGGATCCCCCGGGTCGGGGCTCGTTCCGGGTTGATGGGATTTTGGGGAGTCTGTCATTTTTGGGATCCTGTGATTCTAGGGTTCCATAATTTTATAGTTTTGGGATTTGGGGATTCTATAATTTTATAGTTCTATGATTGTTGGATTCTGGAGTTTTGGGATTCTGGGGTTCTATAATTCTATGATTCCAGGATTCTGTGGTTTTGGGATTCTGGGATTTTGGGGATTCTATAATTCTATATTTTCGTCATTTTCGGATTCTGGGAATTTGGCATTTTATGCTTCTATGATTCCACGATTCTCTAATTTTATAGTTTTATGATTCTGGGATTTGGGGATTCTGAGATTTTAGTATTCTATAATTCTGTAGTTCTGGGATTCCATGATTCTGGGATTCATTAATTGAATAGTTCTGGGATTCTGGGATTCTATGATTCTGAGATTTGCTAATTCGATAGTTCTGGGATTCTGGGATTTGGGGATTCTGGGATTCCAGGTTTTGCAGATTCTGGGATTTGGGGATTCTGGGATTCTAGAATTTGCTGGTTGGAGGATTTTGGGATTCTGGGATTCTGGAATTCGGAGGTTCTGGGATTCTAGGATTTGCTGGTTGTGGGATTCTGGGATTTGGGGATTCTGGGATTTGTTGATTGCAGAATTTTGGGATTCTGGGGTTTGCTGATTCTGGGACTGGGGTATTTGGGGATCTGCTGACTGCAGGATTCTGGGGTTTGTTGGTTGTGGGATTCCGGGATTTGGGTATTTGGGTGTTCCGGCATTCTGGGATGCGCTGATTGCGGGATTCTGGTATTTGGGGATTCTGTGATTCTGGGATTTGGGTATTTTGGGATTGTGGCATTCTGGGATGCGCTGATTGCGGGATTTGGGCATTTTGGGATGCTGTGGTTGCGGGATTCAGGTATTTTGGGATTCCGGGATGCGCTGATTGTGGGATTCTGGTATTTGGGGATTGTGGGATTCGGGGATGCACTGATTCTGGGATTCGGGTATTTTGGGATTCATTCTGGGATTCGGGGTATTTGGGGATTTTGGGATTCCGGGATTCGGGTATTTTGGGATTGGGCTATTTTGGGATGCTGTGGTTCGGCTATTTTGGGATTCCGGGATTGGGGAATTTTGGGATTCCAGGATTCCAGGATTCGGGTATTTTGGGATTCGGGTATTTTGGGATGCTGGGATTCGGGTACTTTTGGATGCTGTGATTCTGGGATTCGGGTATTTTGGGATTCATTCTGGGATTCGGGTATTTTGGAATTTGGGTATTTTGGGATGCTGTGATTCGGGTATTTGGGGATTCCGGGATTCGGGTATTTTGGGATTTGGGTATTTGGGGATTCTGGGATTCGGGGATTTTGGAATTTGGGTATTTTGGGATGCTGTGATTCGGGTATTTGGGGATTCCGGGATTCGGGTATTTTGGGATTTGGGTATTTGGGGATTCTGGGATTCGGGTATTTTGGAATTTGGGTATTTTGGGATGCTGTGATTCGGGTATTTGGGGATTCCGGGATTCGGGTATTTTGGGATTTGGGTATTTGGGGATTCTGGGATTCGGGTATTTTGGAATTTGGGTATTTTGGGATGCTGTGATTCGGGTATTTGGGGATTCCGGGATTCGGGTATTTTGGGATTTGGGTATTTGGGGATTCTGGGATTCGGGTATTTTGGAATTTGGGTATTTTGGGATGCTGTGATTCGGGTATTTGGGGATTCCGGGATTCGGGTATTTTGGGATTTGGGTATTTGGGGATTCTGGGATTCGGGTATTTTGGAATTTGGGTATTTTGGGATGCTGTGATTCGGGTATTTGGGGATTCCGGGATTCGGGTATTTTGGGATTTGGGTATTTGGGGATTCTGGGATTCGGGTATTTTGGAATTTGGGTATTTTGGGATGCTGTGATTCGGGTATTTGGGGATTCCGGGATTCGGGTATTTTGGGATTTGGGTATTTGGGGATTCTGGGATTCGGGTATTTTGGAATTTGGGTATTTTGGGATGCTGTGATTCGGGTATTTGGGGATTCCGGGATTCGGGTATTTTGGGATTTGGGTATTTGGGGATTCTGGGATTCGGGTATTTTGGAATTTGGGTATTTTGGGATGCTGTGATTCGGGTATTTGGGGATTCCGGGATTCGGGTATTTTGGGATTTGGGTATTTGGGGATTCTGGGATTCGGGTATTTTGGAATTTGGGTATTTTGGGATGCTGTGATTCGGGTATTTGGGGATTCCGGGATTCGGGTATTTTGGGATTTGGGTATTTGGGGATTCTGGGATTCGGGTATTTTGGAATTTGGGTATTTTGGGATGCTGTGATTCGGGTATTTGGGGATTCCGGGATTCGGGTATTTTGGGATTTGGGTATTTGGGGATTCTGGGATTCGGGTATTTTGGAATTTGGGTATTTTGGGATGCTGTGATTCGGGTATTTGGGGATTCCGGGATTCGGGTATTTTGGGATTTGGGTATTTGGGGATTCTGGGATTCGGGTATTTTGGAATTTGGGTATTTTGGGATGCTGTGATTCGGGTATTTGGGGATTCCGGGATTCGGGTATTTTGGGATTTGGGTATTTGGGGATTCTGGGATTCGGGTATTTTGGAATTTGGGTATTTTGGGATGCTGTGATTCGGGTATTTGGGGATTCCGGGATTCGGGTATTTTGGGATTTGGGTATTTGGGGATTCTGGGATTCGGGTATTTTGGAATTTGGGTATTTTGGGATGCTGTGATTCGGGTATTTGGGGATTCCGGGATTCGGGTATTTTGGGATTTGGGTATTTGGGGATTCTGGGATTCGGGTATTTTGGAATTTGGGTATTTTGGGATGCTGTGATTCGGGTATTTGGGGATTCCGGGATTCGGGTATTTTGGGATTTGGGTATTTGGGGATTCTGGGATTCGGGTATTTTGGAATTTGGGTATTTTGGGATGCTGTGATTCGGGTATTTGGGGATTCCGGGATTCGGGTATTTTGGGATTTGGGTATTTGGGGATTCTGGGATTCGGGTATTTTGGAATTTGGGTATTTTGGGATGCTGTGATTCGGGTATTTGGGGATTCCGGGATTCGGGTATTTTGGGATTTGGGTATTTGGGGATTCTGGGATTCGGGTATTTTGGAATTTGGGTATTTTGGGATGCTGTGATTCGGGTATTTGGGGATTCCGGGATTCGGGTATTTTGGGATTTGGGTATTTGGGGATTCTGGGATTCGGGTATTTTGGAATTTGGGTATTTTGGGATGCTGTGATTCGGGTATTTGGGGATTCCGGGATTCGGGTATTTTGGGATTTGGGTATTTGGGGATTCTGGGATTCGGGTATTTTGGAATTTGGGTATTTTGGGATGCTGTGATTCGGGTATTTGGGGATTCCGGGATTCGGGTATTTTGGGATTTGGGTATTTGGGGATTCTGGGATTCGGGTATTTTGGAATTTGGGTATTTTGGGATGCTGTGATTCGGGTATTTGGGGATTCCGGGATTCGGGTATTTTGGGATTTGGGTATTTGGGGATTCTGGGATTCGGGTATTTTGGAATTTGGGTATTTTGGGATGCTGTGATTCGGGTATTTGGGGATTCCGGGATTCGGGTATTTTGGGATTTGGGTATTTGGGGATTCTGGGATTCGGGTATTTTGGAATTTGGGTATTTTGGGATGCTGTGATTCGGGTATTTGGGGATTCCGGGATTCGGGTATTTTGGGATTTGGGTATTTGGGGATTCTGGGATTCGGGTATTTTGGAATTTGGGTATTTTGGGATGCTGTGATTCGGGTATTTGGGGATTCCGGGATTCGGGTATTTTGGGATTTGGGTATTTGGGGATTCTGGGATTCGGGTATTTTGGAATTTGGGTATTTTGGGATGCTGTGATTCGGGTATTTGGGGATTCCGGGATTCGGGTATTTTGGGATTTGGGTATTTGGGGATTCTGGGATTCGGGTATTTTGGAATTTGGGTATTTTGGGATGCTGTGATTCGGGTATTTGGGGATTCCGGGATTCGGGTATTTTGGGATTTGGGTATTTGGGGATTCTGGGATTCGGGTATTTTGGAATTTGGGTATTTTGGGATGCTGTGATTCGGGTATTTGGGGATTCCGGGATTCGGGTATTTTGGGATTTGGGTATTTGGGGATTCTGGGATTCGGGTATTTTGGAATTTGGGTATTTTGGGATGCTGTGATTCGGGTATTTGGGGATTCCGGGATTCGGGTATTTTGGGATTTGGGTATTTGGGGATTCTGGGATTCGGGTATTTTGGAATTTGGGTATTTTGGGATGCTGTGATTCGGGTATTTGGGGATTCCGGGATTCGGGTATTTTGGGATTTGGGTATTTGGGGATTCTGGGATTCGGGTATTTTGGAATTTGGGTATTTTGGGATGCTGTGATTCGGGTATTTGGGGATTCCGGGATTCGGGTATTTTGGGATTTGGGTATTTGGGGATTCTGGGATTCGGGTATTTTGGAATTTGGGTATTTTGGGATGCTGTGATTCGGGTATTTGGGGATTCCGGGATTCGGGTATTTTGGGATTTGGGTATTTGGGGATTCTGGGATTCGGGTATTTTGGAATTTGGGGGGATGGAGTCTGGAAACTTGGGGGGTTCTGGAAGCTTCCGGGGGGTCTGTGGAAGCTTCCTGGGATCTCTTAAAGTTTCTGGAATTTCAGGAAGTTTCTAGGGAATCTTCAGGTGTTTCCACAGTGGAGAGGGGACATTTTGGGGAGAGAAGGGCGGATTCGGGACAGTTTCATGGGGGGTTTCCCTGCGCATTCCCGGGGTTTCCCCACACATTCCCGGGATTTCCCCGCGCGTTCCCGGGATTTCCCTGCGCATTCCCGGGATTTCCCCGCACATTCCCGCGTTTTTCCGGCCCTTTTCCCGCAGGAAGCGGCCTGGACGGTGGCGGATGAGTGTATCCAGCTGCTGGGCGGGATGGGCTTCATGCAGGTGAGCGGGGACCGCGCGGTGACACCGTCACCCGGTGACATTGTCACCCGGTGCCGGTGACACCGACGGTGACGGTGACAGGAGGCCGGAGTGGAGCGGGTCATGCGGGACCTGCGGGTTTTCCGCATCTTCGAGGGCACCAACGACATCCTGAGGCTCTTTGTGGCCCTCAGCGGCTTCCAGGTGGCACCGGGGGGACATTGGGGACA